TGTGCCGTTGCTCACAAGTAAAATGTGAAATAATCAGCAGCTTGTTTTGATTTAAATATTTATTTCCCATAATAAGGTCAACAGGGTAGATGTACTTAAAATGAGGCTTCAGTTTAGGCAAAATAAAGGCAAATATTACAAACTACACAAAAGGTAGCTGCTAAAGCATTTAAGTTTCAAAATAGAACAAACAAAACAGACTACTAAATTGTCAGTTCCACTTAGAAACAAAATATTAATTCTAAAAATAAATCTTAGTTTATTTTACAGAAGAAGAGACAAAATTGACTAACTCATTTAATATTGCTTTGGAAGCGCTGTCTGAGAGAAATGTTTATGTCCAAGGAGTTGGTAACGAGGATCCATTACCTTAATTAGCTGCTTGAATCCTTCATTTTTGACCGTGTTTATTGGTAGCATGTCTTTAGCAAGACAGTAAGCTATGGCATTCGTTATGTTGCCATGTCTCTTAGCTTTTTTGTCATATCGTAAGACGCCGGAGAAAGCCGACTCAATTGACTGTTGCTGCTTCGCAGGGATTCCCCTGGTTGTTTTCGACGATGAATTAGCGCTTTCAGTCAGAGATTGAGCGTGCTCTAGTGGGTGGCACTGCTTCAGGTGATAAAAAAGGTTTGTTGTATTTCCAGACTTTGTGGGAACATGCTTTTGGCACAATTTGCCAAATTTGTGCGCTTTACTCTGCTGTTTTGTCAGACTTCAAATAGCTGAAATACCTCCACACTACGGAACTTTTCTGCCCTTTCCTTTCGACAATCTCTTCGGCATTCGAACCGTCATCCGTGTTCTCTTCGGTAACCTGGTCACCCAAGCTCTCGGTAGATTTTCTTAGAAATATGTTATCTAACCAGATTCTTACTCTGGATGGCATTACCTTGGCCTCCAGTAACGCTGTGAGGAACCTTGGAGTCATTTTTGACCAAGACATGTCCTTCAATGCACATATTAAACAAATATATAAGACTGCTTTCTTCCATCTGCTCAACATCTCTAAAATTAGAGATATCCTGTCACAGAGCGAGGCTGAAAAACTAGTTCATGCATTTATTACTTCCAGGTTGGACTACTGCAATTCATAATTATCAGGATGTCCAAAAAACTCCCTGAAAAGCCTCCAGTTAATCCAAAATGCTGCAGCAAGAGTACTGACAGGGACTAGAAAGAGAGAGCATATTTCTTCTAAATTGGCTTGCTTTCATTGGCTTCCTGTTAAATCCAGTACATTCTGCACGCCTGCAAATGGTGCAGAATGCTGCAGCAAGATTTGTTAAGTGATAACAGAAAATTTGAGCATATTATTCCGTATTATTATTCCTTCTCTGGCCTCCTTACACTGGCTTAGAATTTAATTTAGAATGAAATTTAAATCAATTTACTGGTTTTTAAGTCCTCAAATGGTCTGGCTACTGTATATTTGTCTGACCTGCTGAAGCCCTATG